GTTACCCAGAGCCCTGCCCGCGCTGCCTGCACTCCAGGATTGTTACCAGAGCCGCCCACGCTGCCCTGCACTCCAGGATTGTTACCAGAGCCCGCCCCGCGCTGCCCTGCAGCGCCTTGGGGCGAGGTGACTAACCTGGTCACTGCCCCAGAGCCGCCCCGCGCCCGTCTTTGGGCGAGCGGGCCCCCCACCTCCCCCGGCCTCGTGGGGAGCCTGGATGCTGTTGGCCAGCTTGACGCGGACGCTGGCGGCTTCCCTCGGCCCCGGTGCCCCCGAGGGGCCGAGGGTGACTCTTGGTCTCGCCGGCAGGACGTGCCCCCATGAGGACATCCCCAAGCTGGGCGCCGCCCGTGATGGCCGCTCCCCGGAGGGCCGCTCCCTGGAGGAGCGCGCTCCTGATGCTGCTGGCCGCCCAAGCCCTGGCCTCCGTGGGCTGCTCGGAGGAGGAGGCGATCCCCGAAGAGTGGGTGCTGCTGCATGTCGTCCAGGGCCAGGTGGGCGCCGGGAATTACAGCTACTTGAGGCTGAACCACGAGGGGAAGGTCATTCTCAGGATGCGGAGCTTCAGAGGGGACGCAGACCTGTACGTCTCCGACAGCACCCTCCACCCGAGTTTCGACGACTACGAGCTGCAGTCGGTCACCTGCGGCCAGGACACTGTTTGGATACCGGCCCATTTCCAGCGGCCCGTGGGAATAGGCATCTACGGACACCCGTCGCACCACGAGAGCGAGTTTGAGATGAAAGTGTATTACGACAGGACCGTGGAGCAGTACCCGTTCGGTGAGGCCGCCTACTCGGACGGGGCCGAGCCGGGCCAGAAGCCCCCCTATGCTCCCGAAGACACGCCCCAGGAGGAGGAGTCCGTCCTCTGGACGATAGTAATCAGCATCCTGAAGCTGGTACTGGAGATCCTTTTCTGACTCACTCGTAACCGTACGGTTGGCTGCACTTTGTTGTGAACCTATTACTTTCATCCGGTCGAAAGCCTGGTTACCTTTTCCAGTGAAGGGATGGAAAAACTAAAGCCATACAGAGTTCTGTTACCTCAGTTACCCGAAAACAAGGAAAGCAGCGAGCACAATCATTTGTTTAAAACACCAGAATTCCTATAAAAGGAATATACTCAATAAACTCCATTTTGATTAGTTTGTCGAGTGATTAAACAGAGAGAACTCCAGTAACTTAGGGTTTATATAAAGTAGTGCGAAATTCCATGCAGCTACACAGATTTAGACTGGAAAGCTGATTAACTAGAATTTTACTCCACAGGTTCTAAATGAAGTTTACTGTGTAGGTTTCTGAGCATTACTAAAATCAAAGTCAGAAAGATAATGCTTTATTTACACTTCCCTGAATGAAGACGAATGCTCCAAGCCTGTGGCCCGAGTAGCACTAAAACAGTATGTCCAACATGATTTCTTGGCAGGCAGGCTGCACCAGTTAACTTCAGTACCCAGCCACATCAACTTAGTGTAGGCCATTTGTCATTTTATCATCTTGGGCTATTAAAGTTCTTCAGTTATGAAATGACTCTACCTATGGTAGGCCAGAAACAATACAAGATTAGGAAAACTTCATGAAAATAAATGTTTCTCAAGCTAATGGAGAAATAGTTAAGTAGTCTAAATTAAATTGCTCTATTTTGCAACTTAGTTTCTCGAGAGAGCCAAAGTACTGAGATAAATCTTTTGGAAGATGAATTATTTTTCTACCTGGAATTACTTTCAAGAGTAAGAGCAACTTATAATAAAGTAAATCAGCTTGCAGATTTCAAGCTCACAGTTAATTTCAAAAACTTTTATTGGCATAAAAATGAAAATGTAAATAAATTGGCACCAAATATTCCACTTAAATGGATATACAGTGTGACAAAAAAACTATTTTATCCCTCTTTGCTGTTTTTACCCCTTCTGCCCACTTTCCTGGGTGTTGGGGGGGCTCGCTGACAACAGTCACAAATCCAGCGACCTAGGAAAAAAATTAGTTAATATATGATCAAATTTTATTTTTACAGGATAAAGATCTCCTTCCGTAACTCTCACTAATCATATTCTATGCATTTTCAGTGGGAAGGGCACTAATAGTTCCTTAAGGAAAAAAAAATTTAAACTTCTTTTGAAGTTAATCTTGTAATCAGTGCTATGCAAGGGAGGGATACGTAATGCTACAGAATGACATGAACCTTTAAAAAACTAATAGAATCCCTCCCCAAATCCAAACACTATCAAAATTTAAAATTTCAGTAATATAAAGCCTAAAATAAAACCTGTTACTGAATTTGGCTTTTTTAAATCTTTTCTCCCTGCTGCCATAAAGACCTGGCATATTATGCTGGCACTGCACAGGAGTAAACTACACTGTATACTTGATCTGAATCACTACACAACTCTGTGTACGTTGCTCACTTCTTGATACCCAGGAAACAGTTCTACACATATGAAGCATTGTTAGGGCTAACTATGCAAATTCCAAAATTAGAGTTATGTGTGTATAATGTTTGAATCCAATTACTGTGATTTAGTCAATCCTGTGTTCATCCAAAAGTTATCTGGAATCATGCTGCCTCAACTTGAAGAGATCTGGCTTAATATGTATAAAGGTATAACAGTCATTTTATTATATTTCTAAATAGATGACTTATAAAAATAAAATTAAGGCTTTGAAACAAACTGATGTTCTGTTATTTTAGATACTTCAGTAGAAAAATAACCAGCTCACTCTTAGTCTAGACATTCTGACATCTCATGTGTCCTGCAGTTGGATGTCTAGGGATGAAAAGCAGGTGGACAGTGCCTGGGCAATCGCAG